GGCACTGATTGATTACCTAATAAGCAGACTCAGAGACTCAGTTTCTAGTGCTTAGTGCTCCCTGATGATTTCTAATGATGTGCCCTTGGACAAATCACAGCTGTTTCTCTTCTTCTTTTTTTTTAACATATATAACTTGAAGAGATCAGGAAAAATGTTGTCAGTAATTCATTCCAATTTTAAATTCTAATAGTCTACATATACAAATAACAATTTTCCAAACTGTGAGACAGAGGAGCCTGATAAAGAAGAAAAAGATGTACACACTGGGTCAGTAAAAAGCAAAAAAAAAAAAAAACATTAGGAATAAAAGAATTGAAATCAAAATAGGTAATAAGCAGATTAAAGATCATAGAACATAGTTTGTCTTTCAATAGACTAATCTATCCAATATAGGAAAAAGATAAAATATAATTTATTATCTGCTCAATTACATGACACCTTCTTAGAATATAGACTTTTAACATGGTAGATTACAAAAGACATGTGATTTTATTTTTAACACTTTAATGTACAGAGTGTCAACAATAACATCACTTCTAATATAATGGTAAAACAGATACTTAGTAGTTAGTAAATCTCTGTGCATATAACATGGCATAAATCTTCAATGTTTCTGTGAAATTGCAGAGTATCTTTTCTGCAACTACCATGAGAGAGAATCTATAGTTCCACGCCTTTTATGAAATCTTTCTAAAAAGATTAAAAAGGCAATCCATTTATGAAATCTTTCTATAATGCATAAGACGGCTCCATAGTTTCCTCATTGCCACTTTCATGTCTTTGTTCCTGAATGTATAGATAACTGGATTTAGAAAAGGAGTAATAAATGCATCAAAAATAGCAAGATATTTATCCAGGTGTGATGTGGGAGAAGGCCATGTGTAAAAAAACATGAGTGGTCCAAAGAACAAGACAACCACAGTAACATGAGCTGACAGAGTAGAGAGGGCCTTGGATAGACCACCAGGAGAGTGTTTCCAAACAGTGAACAGAATGAAGATATAGGAAATGACTAGCACAACAAAGGAGCCCACAGAAATGAGTCCGCTGTTAACAGTGACCATGAACTCAAGTTCTTGAGTGTTTGTGCAAGCAAGTCTGAGGAGCCGGGGAAGGTCACAGTAAAAGCTGTCAAATATATTAGGGCCACAGAAAGGTAAATCTACCACAAAAACTAATTGGACTGATGAGTGGATAACTCCAATGATCCAGGAAGTGACTAAAAAGTATAGACACATTTTTGGACTCATGATGGTCAGGTAGTGCAGAGGCTTGCATATGGCCACGTATCTATCAAAGGCCATAGCTATGAGCAGCACCATCTCAGTGGCCCCAACAGCATGACTAAAGAAGATCTGGGTAATACATCCCAAAAATGAGATGGTTTTGTGCTTCTTGAAAATATCACAAATCATCTTAGGAGCTGTGATTGAGCAAAACACCATATCAATGACTGAGAGGTTAGCCAGGAGGAAATACATGGGGGAGTGCAGGTGAGCATCCAAGGTTACAGTGAACACAATGACAAGGTTTCCCATTATGCTTGAAAAGTAGAACAACAAGGAGAAGACAAGAAGGAGAAACTGAATATCCCATGAATTAGTGAGTCCCAGGAACACAAACTCTGATACTACAGAGTGATTCATTCCATCCATTGCCCCAGAGAACAGCATCAGTTTTCATGTGCCCTAAGGGAAGAAAAAAATGCACAAGTATTAGTACTCAAGAAATCAAGCCTCTAACCATGGAAATAATTCTCCTGTTAACAACTCACACAGCAAAATAACTTCATCACATTTACACTGGTCTCTACGTAGAGGGATAGCTAGCTCCTAAATAGCATTATGATTTTCAAAACTTCTACTACTAAGTTAGTTTCATCTTTTGACCTATTTCCCTTCTGCTTTTGTTTTGCATTACATGAATACTTTGTATTTCCTCCTGCCCAGTCTGTTCTTCTACCTGGATGACATCTAAGGTCATCTTCAAATACTTTAGACTTTGACTTCTTATGAATGGACAGATTTCAACCAGTCATATGAACCATGTCACAATTACTCATACACAGCATAGAGTTTTCAAAGTCTCTATATTGCTCATATATATATTGCTCAAATGAACGTCAAATGTTTCTCTTCTTTTTTCAGCTTTCAGATTTTCTCTCATTCTATTCTCTATCTCACAGAATCCAATTCTCAAAGTTCATTTTTCCCAGCTAAAACTCCCTCATTGGTGAAATCTTCCCAATCTGCCTAAATCTCTGTATGCTTTCTGCACTACTAGCATTTATTTTGCTTTGCCTCTCATGATTATATAAACATCCATCTCTCCAGTTAAAATATAGCTTCTTGGGTACGGGAATCTGTCTGGTCCACATGTGCAGCCCCCACTACCACCACAATCACCAACAGTGACTAACAGTCACATAAGTGCTTCACACTGGTTGAATGAAGAAATAAATCAGTGGGACTGAAGAATGGCACTGGAGTTAAGAGAGTATATCTTGATTTAGTGAGGTTCATATTAATAGTCTTCAAATAAAGATTCATATTAATAGTATGCAAATAAAAAGTCTATACTCAAAGAACTTGAAATCAGCATACTATAGTGATGCAGCCACATCAATGTTTATAGCAGCTCAAATCACAATAACTAAACTGTGGAAGCAACCTAGATGCCCTTCAATACATGAATGGATAAAGAAACTGTGGTATATATACACAATTGAATATTATTTGGCTTTAAAAGAGAATAAAATTATGGCATTTGCAGGTAAACTGATGAAGTTGGAGAATATCATGCTAAGCGAAGTAAGCTAATCCCAAAAAGCCAAAGGCCAAATGTTGTCCCTGATAAGTGGATTCTGATCCATAATGAGCGGGGAGGGAGAATGGAGTAAAGCCAGAATGCCAGACACAATTCCAGAAGCTAAGGATTCACCATTAACAAAAATCCTTGATTTTGTGTAATTCGCCTTCACCATAGAAAATGCAATTCTGGTATTACATACAGATCTTCTTTCTCCAGAAAGGGTAAAAACACTTGAAGAAATTCTGTAATTCATCAACTCTCAGGAAGCCCCAAACATTCTGCTTGCTACTAAGTTAATTTTCACCTTCAGAAAGTCTCTTCTTGTTGATTCTATCTTCTTTTATCTGAATTCTTGTACTGATAGCTTCTATTACACTATTTAATTTTTCAATGATTTTGTCTAATAAATATGCCTTTGTTTTATCTTCCCACATATATTTATAAAACACTATGTGTGGGTTTCATGTATCATAATTCTTTGTACTGAATGAATGAAAAGCAACTCAAAAACAATGCTGGGAATATTTCTTGGCTTATTCACTTATTAATTCAACAAATATTTATGCAGTATTTACAAAAGTGCTTACCAATGTGTTGAAATTTGAGATAATATGAAGATGAAAAAATTAGATATCAATTTTGTGGAATAAATGAATAGAATAAGAAATTTAATATATAAAAAATAAGAATAAAAAATAAAACCCTAAGGTTGTTGTAGCAATTTATTTTCTTATTGGTTCATTATAATTAAACATAATAGTAGGGCTGATTGTGACATATTCATATATGCACACAACACGGTGTAAAAAATCTCATTCCCTAGTTCCTTCTCTTTCCCTCCCCTCCTTATTTCACCTGATCCCCTTGCTGTACTCTACTGGTCTCCCTTCTATTATTACTTTTTAATTTGTGCATTTAATTATATATAAACAGAATTCATGCAGTATATTCATACATGGACATAGCATAATTGGCTAGACTTCTTCAAAACAATTTTAAGTAAGAACAGTATAAACCATCTTATTATTTGTATCCAAACCCCCATCATGAACTATAAACTAATCAAAACATATCTAAGGGGGCTGGGGATGTGGCTCAAGTGGTAGCGCACTCGCCTGGCATGTGTGCGGCCTGGGTTCGATCCTCAGCACCAAATACAAACAAAGATGTTGTGTCCGCCAAAAACTAAAACATAAATTAAAAAAAAACATATCTAAGAATGAATCAAAGCAAAAGAATTTATCTTGATCACTAAGGGAAAAAATATGCTTCTAACCAAAATTTTATTAAGGCTCCCCTGATGTAGGAACAATGAGAATACACTAGAAAGTAGGATTATAAGTAATTGTTCCTCCAAATTGAAATTCTGACAGCAATAAAAGGCAGATAAGAATAAGAAAAGAAATGATTGTGCACTTGCCTGTTAATGAATTTATAAGGAAAAGAGAAAAACCAAGAGAGGATTTATTAGATCATTCAGAGGGAGAAAACATGATCCTGTGTAAAGTCTACACAAAGACAAAGCCTAAGCAGAGAGCAAGGTAGATAGTTTTAGAAAATTAAATTCATTTTTTAAATCAGAAAGAAAAAATAAATAAAAACAGAAAGAAATAAATTAAAAACTGAAGAAAATAAATACAAAGAGAAATTGAATAATTGAAAGCCACAAGAGACCTGGATAGTCAATTAGATGGAAATTTATGATAGAGAGGAAGCAGTGGCAGAATAGGCATTTATTTAAATGTTTAATCCTTTTTCATTGGTACATTATGATTATAAATAATAGTGGGATTCATTAAGACATATTTTACATGCTAAATGTGAAATCTTAAAAGCTCCAGTGCCCCAAAATATTTTCTATTAGCATCCAGAACTGTCTTCTTTCAGCTTATCATATTGCATGCCCTGGACTCACTCACACTGCTAAGGTAAGGGTTAAGCTATGACAGACAGATAAATAAGTTACCAGATGGCTTTCCTTAACTGAGATTTTACCCACGCAAGATGTAAGAGTTCTGATAATAAAGACGTGTGATGCCTTTTAAATCTGAGTCATTACTTATGGAGGATTAGCTTGGATGGGTTGCTGCAAGTGACAGATTATGAACAGAAGCACTGTTATTCATTTCACAGGAATGACAACTAGAGCTAAGAATAGGACTAATGGGACTGAAAGCAAAATTTAACCCACTCTATAAGCTCTTAAGAACAAAGGGAAAATAATACAAATAGAAAAATATCACCATACCTGGAAACCTACTCAGCTCTTGTCTTGAGTCTTCAGATTTCGTGAGTACTAAGTCTCCATCTCTGGGCATCAGTCTCTGAATGGCTTCCAGAGGGAGATGCTGGGCACTTGATCACTTTAAGGCATCCTGCACCCTCATGGAAAAGAGTGCATCCCCTCCTAAGATCATTGCCAGCAGGGGATAGATATTCTGCTCTGAGATTTCTAGTTCTGTCTTCATTTGAATAGAATTAGGCTATATTTTAGATTTGCTTCATGATAACTTTACATTTTAAATTTTCAGAGGGGAAAAGAGCTATTCATTATCTCTAATTAATAAAATCATTAAGCTAAAAGAAAACTAAAAATATATTATGAATCAGTTCCTTTCTTATGTTTTTCCATCCAGGACATGTCAGTTCTTCCCCAGTTAACCAGGTTTTAAAATTCATTTTATTTCCTGGGTGTCCTGCTTTTTATTAACTTAATAATCAAAAGACTCTCCTTTGCAAAAAGAAAATCTTTCATCCTTTTGATGAAGCCAATGTCCAACCTAATTCATCCTCTGTGGGCACAAAGAAGTTGCCAGCAACTCTCTCAGATATTTATCTGAGTTTAATATCCTTAAACTTGATAAAATCAAATAAAGGTCACTCCTCTGTACTCTCCAGTTTTAATCCCCTTAGATTTTCTTCATAGGATCCATCTTTTATCCCTTTATCCCTTTTGCCTATTCACCCCATTTCACCACCAAACCTGTCGTTGAATTGACCTAGAAAAAATTATGATAAATGTTTTAAAAACACAAACAAGAACCAGAAGATTGACTCCTGGCTGTTAAACATTGCACATCTAGTTTCCCACTTTTTTCTCCATTTTTTCATCACCTAACTCTAACTGATATCACATTATTTCACTTTAGGGCAAGTTAGGTTCCTAAATGTTTTTTTTTCCCAGGAAAGTTTTCAGGCATTCTTTTTCCTTCTTGATTCCATAAAAATGGAGTTTTATTTTTCTTTAAGTGTATTTGTCGCTAGTATCTAATGAACTTCCTCTTCTTTATGTCTTAGCTCTCCTCTAAAGAAAAGTAAAGCAGACAACAATCTTGTTAGGAAGATGATAAGCATATTTGTCCTTATTTTCAATGCTAACAAATTTTCCTAAAGGTTCCTTGATATGGTTAACAACTTAACCTTCATCTTCATCCTATCCTGAACCAAGCCATGGTACAAACTCCAGATCTGTCACCAACTATCAGCTGCACCTGTGAATCTCCAAGTCATTCCCAATTCTAGTTTAAAGTTAAGGTTACTTTTCTATATCCACGATAGTTCATATTTATTTTTCTGCTGTGATTCTCATCTTGCCCCCCACCACCACCACCACCTGCTTCTGTGTGTCCCCAACTTAGTGATGTGTGCAATGAGTAAGATGTTACCTGGGTCTTCCTCACCGCTGAAGTTAAAATAATTTAATGTCTTCCTGTTCTGAGCATGCCATGCTTCCTTCAAAGCTATTCACAGACTGTTTTCTCAATTACTTTGAAGTGTATCAAATGTTTCTATAAATGAAAAAATGCTAATTACTGCGCTGGGGAGGCCAGTGACCAAACAAAACTATAATGACCTGGTACTGCAAAGGTAAAGTCAATTAGCCAAGGAAATTGTCTCCAAAAATGCATTCACCATGTCCAAAACAACAAGGGAAAATGCTGATAATGGGTCACAGGAGGGCAAGGTAACACTGGAATCGTTAAGAAAATCAATCTCTACCACTTTGTTTGCCAGTTTAAGTCCTCTCGTGTTGAATTAAAATATCTCCAGGTAATCTGATTATACTCATTTCCCAAGAGCTTTATAGACTTCATATTAAATATCCTTATAAATGTCGATTTTCTCTATGCATAAATAAATTTAAAAAGTGAAATAATAAATTACCAAAAAGTTACTTTAAAACTATCTTGTGACTTTTATTGAATTTCAAACTTTACACATTGTCATAGCATTTTGAAATTCAGGCTTTATTTAACTCATGTTCACTTCCAAAGAAACTTATGCAGTTTCCTGCAGTCAAGTGAACCAACATAATTAATGAATTTAACAAAGAGATCCAGTTGTCAAAATTATTCATTGTCCCTTTACTATGCCTGTCATTTGGAAGCAGAAATAATATAAATAAGTGTTTACTTCAAAATATTAAAAGAAAGTAATAAGATTTGTTCTTTTTTTATTTTTTGACAGACAATAATATTTCATCCTTATAGGGTACAATGTAATGTCTTCACATGTCTATGTGGTGTAAGGATCAACTCAAGGTATTTAAGTTATCCATCATCTTAAACATTTATCATTGCCTTGTGTTCAGAGGATTAAGATAATCATATTTTTCTACTCATGGTACATTATATGCATTGGTTTATAAAGAGTTCTGTCTCTCTTTTTTTACTTATTTGTTACCTTTTTAATTATTATTTTATTCTAATTTGTTATATATGATAGCAGAATGCATTACAATTTATATTATACATAGAGCACAATTTTTAATATCTCTAAAGTTTCCCTGGTATGGTTAACAACTTAACCTTCATCTTCATCCTATCCTAAACCAAGCCATGGTACAAACTCCAGATCTGCCACCAACCATCATAAATTAGAGTCACACCATTCGTGTCTTCATACATGTACTTATGGTAATGATATCCATCTCATTCCACCATTCTACCCTCACCCCCCTTCCCTAACCTTCCCTCCCCTTTGCTCTATCTTGAGTTCATCTAATCCTCCCATGTTCCCACCCCAACCCCATTATGAATCAGCATCCTTATATCAGAGAAAACATTCAGCATTTAGGTTTTTTGGGTTATTTGTTACCTTTAATCTCCATTCCCCATTACTAATTCCTTTCTCTCAAAGATAACCACTCTGGTCTTTAAAAAGTATACCCTATTGTTGTGTGTGTTACTGTGAAACATGTACTGATTTTTATGGATGTATGTATAAAATAATCTCATTCATCTCATTTGAATTGTTTTTTCCCTCTTAGCCCATGTTGCTACGTGTACACCTTACTGAATAGCACTCCAAGGTGAGTATGCACCACCTTCTACATGCCTGATTACCCAGATTACCTCCAAGTTTTTCAGAGCCACTACAGTATGATTTTGGAAGAACTGGATGATCTCCTCCAACTTAAACCCACACACCAGGAAAATAATACTTGTTAAAATTCTTCAACACTTACATACTGGTTAGAATAGTCACTTTCATGAGTCCCTTGGAGTTTCACCTATCCCCAAGTTCTTTTCCCAGAAATCTTTATGAATTAACTAATAAAAGTTAGTGCCAAAAACAGCAGGAGTTCTCAGACTCCTCCAACTCTGGCCAGCATCTGTTCTGAGAGGTCCTAGTCTATACATGTAGTTGTGTCCTCTTTCGAATATCATACTTGCTCTATAATAAAAGCTGCAATGACATCTTCATGAATGTCTCTCTGAAGATCAGCAATGACTATTATTTTGGTCTTTCAGAGCATTATGAGGCATTGATTCTTTGAACCAGTGATCATTATTTTATTAATCACTCTTTTATCACATAGAAAAAATAATATAAATAAGGCAAATGACTGATCTACTTAGTAATCAAGTTCCAGCCTTAAAAATAATATAATGGTAGAAAAAAACATTGTCTTCCCCCATTGTCCTTGATCCCAATGTGAAGGTATAGAGAGAAGTTGTTAATTCATCCATGTGGGCATGCTAACAGTTATAGGACAAAGATTTGTGACACAGTATGCAAATGCCCACTCAAATAGAAGTAGACTAGAGGGTCTGGGTAAAATATAGGGTAGCCAGGAGCTGACCAAGGTGATTACACAGCCAAAGATTCTTCAGTAAGAATTTCTGGGGGAAACTAACAGTCAAGAGATTATCAAATATCAATTCTAAAGGCATAAAACTAGGAAACTCAAAGAGAAAGAGGCCAAGAGTTCTGTCTGGATAGGATCAAAAAGTAACTGAGTCAAAGATGAAGCAAGAGAAGAGGATCCAAAGCAATCATGTATCCAGAGTGCCTTTACAGTCTGACCAATGTGAATATTATGTTTCCCAAAATCATGTAATAAAAGCTCTCTTCACCTCTTGGGTGTTCCTTACAAAAACTCAGTACCCAAGTCTAAAACTTCAGACAAATTTAAAATAAGGGACATTCTACAATGTACCCAACTAATACTCTTCAAAGCTTTGACAGCCATGAGAAACAAAATAAGACAAAGAAACTATCAAAATCAGAGGATACTAAGAATACATGATAACTAACTATAATGTAGTATCCAGGATTGAATTCTGGAACAGAAAACAGACATTAAAAGAAAACTAGTAAAATCTGAGGAGAATCCAGACTTCAGTTAACAGTAATGTGTCAGTGTTGCTTCCTCAGTTTGGGAGAAAAGTAAAATGATAACATTAGGGGAAACTAAAATTGAGTGAAGGGCATATGGGAACCCTCTCTACCGACTTTACACTATTTTTGTAAATCTAAACTTATTCCAAAATAAAACCATTAGAGGAGAGGAAGGGCAGTAAGGAGAGGAAGAAGAGAGGAAAAGAAGAGACTCTTGGGACTGAAATTAAATTCCATACACATATGATGATGTCAAAATGAACCCAATTATTATGTATAATTATTTGTTCAACAATATGCACTAATAAAAGCATTAAACGATCTTATTTTAAAATAGAATAAGAAATGTAAAATAGAACTGAAAATGTCAGCAAAAATCAAGTGAAAAATCATGCTTGAGCATTTGTTGAAATTCTGCTACTTGACATTTAATGTACAAAATAAATAATATATGGTGTATGTCAGTGAAAAATTAACAGTCCAGTTGGGACACCATACTTACCAACCAAGGCAACATGCTCTCATATGATAAGAGACAGCAAAAGACCAGGAGTCCGTCAACCTATATTCTAAATTTGGACCTCTTATATATTACTTTTGGGGGGGGTACCAGGTATTAAATCCAGAGGCATTCAAAAACCTAGCCATATTCCCAGCCTGTTTTCATTTTTTAATTTTGAAATAGCATCTCACTAAGTTGCTTAGGGCCTCGCTAAGTTGCTGAGGCTGGCTTTGAACTCATGATCCTCCTACCTCAGCCTCTGGAGCTGCTGGGATTACAAGAATGTGCCACTGGGCCTGGCTCATACATTACTTTTAAGATCTTTAGCTAATTACTTAATTTTCCAGTAGCTGAACTTCCTAAAATGTGAACTTTCTAAGATGATGAACAATTTATATTACAAAAGTTTATATCTACAGTAAGTTTAATGTTTTTCCAGGTAACTGCATGTCTGTATGTAATCTTTCAGATCTATGGTACTTATTTTCTCTGTGATTCAATGGAGCTGGGACTCTGCCAACTTTCTTTCTGCATCCCCTCCTTTTTTAAGCCATACCCTTAGAGGGGGATAGAGTGCTACTGCAAGGCTGGAAGCAGAAGAAGGGTTTGCTTCTTCCAGTTGGCTTCCAGTGGACATCCTCTCTGTTGGCCCCTGAGATTCACCCAACCACACACCTCACCTCAGCAGCCCTGGTTACTTTTTAAAGCAGTAGCTGGTTAGTTGTAGTGTAAGAGGAACACAACCCACACCCTCCTCAAGAATACCAGCACCAGCCAGCGGCACCTCTCCCTCAGGGCTGTGTTCTGTCCCATAGGCCCTTCTTCAAACAGAGACACCAGCAGACAGCATCCACTCCTCAAGGATTTAATAGTTTGGGGGCTTGAGTTTTAATAATTCTAAGGCAAAAGTTGCTTCCTACAAATGCTACATCTATGACTTTAGAGTTTATTCTTTTCCAAATAACTACTTCACTGTCAGAGACAAAATTACATCAAATTTTGTTTAAAGCTGTAATTGAGTATTATTTGAGATTCTAGAATCAGGTGAAACCTCATTCTGTATAGTATAATAGATGTCTGATGAGCTGAGCAGAGGAAGTTGGTTTTAATAGCGGCAAAAGGCTAGAAGAAATCAGAATCAAAGACAAAAAGTAGAGTGACTTCCCTTAAAGGATTAAACAGGAGATTTCCTTGTTCCACTGACTCAGGTTGTTTGGAATCTCTTGGGTTGGTTTTGGTTTGTTTTGGTTTGGTCTGGTTTGGTTTGAAAATGGGCCCATTTCAAAGTTAGGATTAATTGCATGGCACTGAGCAGAGAGAGTCCATTCTGGTTTGGTCTGGTCTGCTGGGGCTTAGTGTAGGCTCCTACTCCAAAATAATGGCTTCCCACAAACATTGTATAGTACAATTTTATATTTAGTTAACAACTCTTTTTTATAAATTAATTTCATTTATTTTTTATACAAATGGAGCATTTAGTTAACAACTTTTTACATCAAAATTTCTCTTTTCAAAAAAACTGGTATGGCTTTTGCCTCCTTACTGGACTTTGAAAAAAAAATCATATTCACAAATAAATAGCTCACAAGTAATGTACTAAAGAGATGAAAACAAATCAGCTAAATAGTAAGACAAATCAGAGTCAGTAAAATTAATATTTATATTTATAGAAAGATCATCTACTTAAAATGGAAAAAAATACATAATAGATAATAAACTACATACTGACTTTAAAAATGGATTCTTTAACATTTAAGTTACTCTGTTTGCCCTTATATATAGGTAAGCCCACTAGTGAGATGAAGTAACCACAACATTTCATCTTCAATTCTGTTTATAAGGCAGTTAACAGACTTATATCACAATTAAATATGGGCAGAAAGCAAAAAACAGAGCACAACACAAGTTAGTAGATAGTGGCATTCTGGCTAAATTTAACATAGCTTACATAACATGTTTTCATCTGAAATTCAAATATACATTGCTATTTCATATAATACCAACTATATATTTAAGAAATTTCATAATTTACAAACTGAGTGCAGAGTCTTCTCATTGCTACCTTCATATCTTTATTTCTAAAAGTGTAGATGAATGGGTTTAGAAAAGGAGTGATAACTGCATCAAAGATGGCAAGGAATTTATCCAGATGTGATGTGGGAAATGGCCACATGTAGAAAAAGATTAATGGCCCAAAGAACAAAACCACCACAGTGACATGAGCTGACAGAGTAGAAAGGGCCTTGGATAAACTACCCAAAGACTTTTTTTGGACAGTCATCAAAATAAAGACATAAGAGATGATCAGAATTAAAAATGAGGCCACAGAAATAAATCCACTGTTGGCAGTTACCATGAATCCCAGTGTATGGGTCTCTATGCAAGCAAGTTTTATAAATCGAGGAAGGTCACAAAAAAAGCTATCTAATTCATTTGGCCCACAGAAGGGCAAGTCTATAACAAAGGCCAACTGAGTCACTGAATGAATAAAGCCAATAATCCAGGAAGCAACTAGAAACAAAATGCACCTCCGTGGGCTCATGATGGTCAGGTAGTGGAGAGGTTTACATATGGCCACATATCTGTCAAAGGCCATGGCTATGAGCAGCACCATCTCAGTGCCCCCAACTGCATGGATAAAAAAGATCTGAAGTACACAACCTCCAAAGGAAATGGTTTTGTGCTTTCTGAAAATGTCATAGATCATCTTGGGAGCTGTGGAGGAGCAAAATATCAAATCAATGATGGAAAGGTTGGCTAGCAGGAAGTACATGGGGGACTGTAAACGAGGGTCAGAGGTCACAGCCAGCACAATGAGAAGGTTTCCCATCAGACTTGCTACATAGAACACACAGGAAAAGAAGAAGAGGAAGATCTGGGTTGCCCATGAATTGGAGAGTCCAAGGAACACAAACTCAGACACCACAGAGTGGTTGGCTTCATCCATTGCCTCTGTCAGCAGTGATGTCACTCATGTTCCCTGAAAGAAAGTAAAGGAACACTCTTAGGATAAATGGCACTGATCTTGCAAAATCATGGGCAATTCAAAAGTTGTCAGAAAACCAAACAACAGTTAATTTATTCTTCTGGAGACAATTTTAATCATAAAGCAATTCATATTCCTCTGTTATATATTTTATTGCCAAAAATATATTGCACAGAATAACTTATTTCACTTTTTTTATGGAAATCTCTATTGTGTTTTTAAGTATTAATTTATAGTCATACTTCATATAAAAATACAAATTTAAAAAACTTTTTATACATTAACTGTAGAATTAAGTGACAATGGGTTTCATAACTTGGATATTCCTCAATATATTAATACCATATGTATGACCATATTCCCAATTTCTTTCATGATCTTTCTATGCATTTTTAAAGGCATAAATTTCCCTTATTTGTAAGACATAAATTTTCCTTATTTTTAAAGTGGACAAAGTGGGTTATTTTAGAAGAGAGCATTAAATACAAGAGCAGAGTTTGGCAGATCATGGCACTCACCGTGAGTGCTGGAGAAAATGGTGTAATTATAGGTACTGTGGAGGAGATTCTGACTAAGGGTTGGGGGAGAAAAAATGTGAGCTATCAAGTAAAAGAGGTAACCAGAATGACAGCAATGAGTCATAAATCCCAAGTAAAGGAGAACAAGTAAGACTGAATACAGAAATGTTAGAAGTGTTAGAAATGTTCTTATCTACGTTCTTATCTTAAATACCTTTATTTAAAGATGTTTAACCTTATGAAATAAATGCATGCTAAAATAGCAAGATACTTGGGATTTTTTTCTTATCAGTTTGACAGATATTTACACATTTGACAAAATTCAGGGTATTGGGGGGAAGGAGACAAGCAGTCTCATACCGAGTGATGGAAAAACAAACTTATAAAACATTTGTCAATTTGGAAACACCCTCTGAACTTTTACGAGCTCCGGATACTTTGACTCAGCTGTTCTACTTCTAAAAGGAGGAAATTTTTCCGAACATATGTTTGTGTACATGGACAAGGTAGCCAAAGAAATAACATTTTTTGTTATTTTTGCTAAAGTATTGTTTTTTAATTTAATATTTATTTTTTAGTTGTAGTTGGACACAATACCTTTATTTCATTTATTTTTACGGGGTTTTGAGGATCGAACCCAGGACCTTGCACATTCTAAGCAAGCGCTCTACCGCTGGGCCATAATCCCAGCCCCTAAAGAATTGTTTTTAAGAGCAAAAGCTTGACAATTGCAATGTGTAGACCAGGAGACTAGAAAAATAACTGTCCATGGAGTACTATGCAGCCATTCATAATACAGAGGTAGACTTAATGTATTTAGGGCAGACAGGAGAGAGATCAGTAATTTCCAGCACTACATTTTGCCAAGTGGTTTTAAAAATAAAATAAATAGGTAGAAAACATCTAGGTTAACACCCAAAAGCCTGTTAATGATAATTGTCTCTAAATTTTAAAAGTAATGAAGGAGAAGAGAACTTTTACTTTTCACTTTGTGCCTATCTTAAATTTTGCAGTCAGCATATACCAATTTCATTCTTACAGCAAGGTAAAATGTATGTGGATTTTGAAATTACACAATTTGTATCTTCAGAATGACCAAAGATATAATCTGTCTTTGTGACTCTACTTCTCCTTTTACCTCACACTCTAAGCTAAACTACTTCTTCGCTAGATGTGCATCTGAATGGTATTTTCTTTTCCCTCATGCACACCGTTGGCTGAGCTTCACTCCCCCATCCGCTGGGCCTGCAGTGCCCTCGCCCTCATGACACTTCTCTAATTCTTCCCATTCTCTCCAACACCCCACCCAGCAAAATTCCTTCTTCCATGAAGTCTTCTTTGATAACTTTACTTTCGTATGCACTAAATGGAGATGAATTTTTCATGTATTTCGGTAACCAAGCCAAAAACACTAATAATAGTAGTACTGTTCTTAGTGTTCCAAAAAGGGACCCAATTGAATTCTCTGTTATTGTAGGTAATGTTTCTCCAATATGCCTTTAAAAATTCTTTTTCAGACTTTCTCATAACAGTATAAATGACAATCATATTCATAAAGAGCAGCTCAGCTTAAAGTTAGATTCTTTTTATAGTGGTTATCATTAGAAACCTCCCCCACTGAAAATTTGATCCAAGCAAATGATTGAATTCTGAATTGCTCCACTAGAAAATGGCAGTTATTCTGTTCAAGCTCAATTCTAAACCCTTTTTAATTTTTACACAAAATCTTGTTTTATCTCTAGAATTTTCATGTATATCACATTATAAAGATTTTTAAGGGCTGGAGCTGGGGCTCAGCAGTAGAGCACTCGCCTGGCATGAGCGAGACCCTGGATTCGATCCTCAGCACCACATAAAAAATAAATAAGTGAAATAAAGGTATTGTGTCCAACTGCAACTAAAAAAAATAAATATTAAAAAAAAGCTTTTTAAATTAGATGTATTACTAGTGTTGGTAAAAATTTGGAAAGCAGACTTGTATACCGGATAGTTCTGCTTTCTAGCCAGTTTTCCATTTTCTATCTATTTTGAAATCTTGAGGCCTCTAACTTTCCTATGTACATAAATTAACAGACCACAATGAATTTCCCCTTTATGTATATCCATTAGAGTAGAGTGAAGAGAAGAGGAGAGGGAAAGGGGAGTTACTGGAACTGAAATAGAGCAATTATATTCCACACTTGTATAATTGTGCCTCAATGAACCCTAATATTATGTGTAACTACAAAGAACTAATTTAAAAATATTTTTTAAAACTTGATGTCTCTAGCTACCACACTTTGAGCCAAGCATAGCAGCATAGACCTGTAATCCCTGCTGAAGCAAAAGGATCTCGAGTTTGAGACCAGCCTGGGTAACATTGGAAGACTCCATCTCAAAAAGGAAAAAAAAAAATCTAGGTACCACTTGGTATTAGTCCTCACGAAATGACATCCCTTTTTAACACAGGCAGAATCATAGTTTGGATCTGAGCTTTCAGTGAATATAGAGTGAAAAGTTGTCTAGTTAGGTCACTAATATAAAAGGAAAACAGGTTATTAGTGGGGACAGGCAACTAAACCCCAGGTGTCTTTGCAGTGTTCTGAACCCCAGGATTATGTTTTAACACAGAGCACTCATCTCTGCCTACACTCCCACCATTAAGAATAGAAGGAGGACAAAGAAAACCATCTACTGCTCAGGTCTGCTCATTCCTGTACAGGCGACTATAAAGAGGAAATGAACTATAAATCACATGAGCTTACCACCAATTGAACCAAGCTGATAATTACAGAGTTTTAGAAAGTTAAACAATGTTTGGAGTCATTCATATAAAGATATGTAGTCCTCTACTTTCTAACCTTCGGTCTCAAGTTACTAACAAAGTTTAGTTAAAACTAGACTTTCTGGGTAATACTGAAATTTGCAAGGAAGCATTTCAGTCTGGTGATGATAAAAGTTCCTCCATTGGTCCGCTAGTTTGTTCTTCCTGAAATGAGTAGAAAGAGTTCAGAGCCTATTCAGAATACAGGAACAATATATGTGAACTTGAAACAGAGCTACATGCTTCAAAATTAATTGTTCTTACTACTACCAATGCAGCAAGACTTGTAGACTGCTATAACCTGAATGGCATTTTACTAGTAAATGTAAAATCCTTTTATTTTAGAATTAAGGAAAACAAAGTATAGGGAGGGTAAATGACTCTGCTGAAGATATAGAATAATTAGTAACAAATCCAGAATTAATAGAACTAGTTAGTAACAAATCCAGAATTAATATGTTTGACTCTTGGCCTCATCAGTCCCGGTTATTTCCACGTGGCATCTTGTCTGTGACCCAAAACCATAATATGCCAAATCTACAAAACAGCAAGAAGAGATGATTTTGAAAGTTTTACCACAAAAAAAAATGACAAATGTTTAAGGTAATGAAGATGCTAATTATCCTGATTTGATAATTATACAAACTAGACATGTATCAAAACATCACATTGTACTCCATAAATCTGTACAATTATTATGTGTCAATTAGACTTTTTTAAAAGAAAACTAAAAGTACATATATGTGTGTATTTCTTTAGTATTGTCCAAAATTCATATTACTTCAGCTAGACAAATCTTACACTCTTAACTTATTCTTTTCCTAGAGATCCATGTGCACAACATCTGTGCAAACATCATTTTTAGAATATCCCCCACAATACTGAAAACAAAATCATAATTTGAGTCTATTCATCCTTTGGTCTTCTATATTTCAATCGTTGGTAAATTAGCTGCAATCCCCCTGTAAAATAACAGAGTTTGTTTGTTTCTTGAGATTTAGGAAATTCTCCCTCAGATAACTGTGTGTTTCAACTTGGAGTTCTGATCCCCATCAAAGACAGTTCCCATCCATCTAACCTACCTGGACCAATGTTCAAATTATCATGGACTTAGAAGACCACAAAATGCAGAGTTCTTGCCTTTGAAACGTTAACATTGCTTGGCATAAAAAGTCACAGGTAATACCTCCATAGAGGCAAAGTAACTAATTAGCAGCACTGAAAAATTACTTAATGCTGTTGCAGAATCCTGGGATTGGCTTCTTGAGCACATTTGGCCAAGGGAATTGTTTCCAAGGACCACAGATATTTGGCCACAGTAATCAAACAGAAAAATTGGTAATGGGTCACTTGAGAGGAAATAGGAGAGAATAGGGATGTGTGTGGGGGGGGGGTGAAAATTTCATATTTTTTAATCTTTTTGCCTGTTTGTTTTTCTCATTTATGAGGTAAGAAACTCCACACAAATGAAAATAAATACTTTCCAAGAAGTGAAAATAAAGCATATCATCTCCACAGGAAGAAACAAGGAGAGTTGAAAAGTAGTAACAGTGTCCTCTGATGTGGAATCTGAATGTGCTCCGTGTCCCATAATAAAGGATAACTAAATTAGAGGTAGTAAAATGTACAGCTGTCTGGTCAATATTTATTTAGTTCTTAATTATGTGT